CTTGAACGTGAGCAGGTTCTGCGCCCGCGCTCCGGCCTGGCCGTCATCGGCAACGCCCAGGCGCCCTGCAGCAACGGCTCGGCGACCTCATGGTCGATCGGGGGGTCCTTGAAGCCTTGCGTTTGTATCTATAGCGTCCCGGCGGCAGGACGCGGGGGCGACGGAGTGGGCCGGGCGCGCACCTCTCGAACCGCAGCCGATGTGCGGACCCCATAGGAAGGCTCGCTCCCGTTCGAGACTTCCTCGCGGTTCACTTTGGGACGAGGCCCCCGCTCGAGACTTCCTCCAAATCCACGCCTCAGGAACCCAAGCGTGACGGCAGTTACAGGAGTAAAATGGTCTGGCGGCCACATAGGGAGAGGGCTCCCGCCTGAGACTTCCATTCGCTCAGAGAGGAGATTCCCGTTCGAGACGTCATCCAAACGCACGCCTCAGGAGCCCTTGCGCGACGACAGTTACAGGACTTGGATGACGGGGTCGGATGGCTAACGTGATCTGGCGGCCCCATAGGGAGGGGGTTCCCCTTTGCAGCGTCCCTACAGTTCACTCACAATCGAGGCTCTCGCTCGAGACTTCTTCCATATCCGCGCCTCCGGAGCCCAAATGTGACGTTGGATGACCCGTTCGGATTACTGACGTGATCTGGCGGCTCCACAAGGACGGGGGTTCCCCCCTAAAACGTCCGCACAGTTAGCTGACAGACCAGGCCCCCCTTCGAGACTTCCTCGCATCCACGCCTCAGGAACCCCAATGTGACGACACTTCAAAAATGTGGATGACCCACTCGGATTACTAAAATGACCTGGCGGCCCCATAGGGACGGGGGGTCCCGCCTGAGACTTCCGCACAATCCATTCACAGACAGGGCTCCAGTTCGAGACTTCTTCCAGATCTACGCCTCAGGAAGCTAAAAGAGCCGACAGTTACGAGATTTGGATGACCCGTTCGGATCGCCAACATGATTTAGCGGCCTCCAAGCGGCGGGGACTCGCGTCTGATATTTTTTCACAATCAACTCGCAGGCGAGGCTCCCGCTCGAGACTTCCTCAAAATGAGTGCGTGTGTGATTGCTAGTGAGAGTGTGAATGATGCTGGTGATCGTGGTGAAATGGTGATCGTGAGGGTGGTGGTGACCATGATGAGATGGCGCTGGTGATGATGATGATGATGATGATGATGATGATGATGATGATGATGATGATGATGATGATGATGATGATGATGATGATGATGATGGTGTGACGGTGATGGTGACGGTGATGACGATAACGATGACGATGTGAGTGTGACTGAATGTGTGTCTGTTAGTGAACGATACCCCTGTTGCCGATGATGACGATGATGTTGATGATAATGATGATGGTGACGGTGATGGTGATGGTGATGAAGATGAGTATAATGATGGGATGGTGACAGTAGTGGTGATGCTGATGATGATGATGATGATGATGATGATGATGATGATGATGATGATAATGATGATGATGGTGATGCTGACGCTGAAGCTGATGTTGATGCTGCTGATGCTGCTGCTGATGATGATGATGATGATGATGACGTGGTGATGCTGAGTATGATGAAGATGATGAAGATGATCGCGTGATGATAATTGGGACACGAAGGGGTGTAGGGCTGGTGTCAGGGCTGCGCGGGGGGACCAGAGAAAACAACACCCCTATTTCTGATGTGGGGAATATGGGCAAGTTTGGGGAATCCAAGAATTTGTGTCCGTTTATTTGTATCCCCCTGGGCTCCTTTCAACTCCCCCAGCCAGGGTGGCCCCCCCTGCTCAAGGGGGGACCAGGACCCTCCCACGCCGTTCGCGCAACCCAGGGCCCGGCCCCCCTTTGTTGCGCCTGCAATCGGCGACCACGACGACGATGACGACGACCACGACGACTGCGACGACGACGGCGACCACCGACGACAGACGACAGACGACAGACGACAGGGATGGCGGACCGATCGCTGCGACGACAGGCCACGCGGCGACGAGCGACCACCGACGACAGACGACAGACGACAGGGATGGCGGACCGATCGCTGCGACGACAGGCCACGCGGCGACGACAGCGACAACGGCAGCGGCGACGCGCCCGCCCCATCCGCCAGACGACGATGCTCGTCAGGGCTCGCCCTCTCACGCTGCGCGCCCGCCCGCGTCATGCCCCGCCCGCCCGAACCGCCGGCCAGGGGCTCGCCAGCCCGACCAGCACGCTGCGGTACTACGTTGTTCACTTCTAATTGTTCGAAAGCTCTTTGATTTTTGGGGGGCCACGATCCTTCCATTTCTGATCGTTCCATCCTGGGCCTCATCCTGGCCACCAGGGGGCCAGGAACAATCCGAAACGAGCACAAAGAGAAGTGAGCACGATCAGAAATGACCGCCCGCATTCGTGAACGCCCGCCGCCTTGCCTGGCGCGCCCGCTGGGGCCCGCCCGCCCGCCCCCGCCCGTGTGAGGCTGGGTCCGAGCGTTCGCTTGCGTGAGCACCAGCCCGCCCGCCCGACCCGCCTGTCAGGGCCCGGCCTCTGGATCGCACGACGGCTCCAATGTCCCGTGCGCGTCCGTCCTCGTCGTCAGTCGTCGAAGTCAACGTCGTCGTCGTCGTCGTCGTCCTCCTCCGCGTGCTCATCGTCCACGTGAACGTCGTCGTCGTCGTCGACTGGCGTCGCAGTTGTTGTCGTCGTCGCCATCATCGTCGTCGTCGTCGAGTTCGGGTCGTCGGCGGTCGTCGCAGACGACGTCGTCAGTCATCGCTGTCGAGTCGTCATCGTCGTCGCTGTTGCGCCGTCGTCGTTGGTGTGGTTTTGGGAATCGTCAGTGTGGTCAGTGACGTCGTCGTCATCGTCAGTCGTCATTCGCTAATCGTAGTCGTCGTCTTCGGTCGTCGTCGTCGTCGTCGTCGTCGTCGTTGGTGTCCTCGTGGTCGATGTTGTCGTCATCGTTGGTCGTGGTCGTTGTGGTGGTGGTGGTCGTCGTCATCGGTCGTCGTTGTTGTCGTCGGCCTCGTCGCTGTCGTCGTCGTCGTCGTCGTGTTCATCGTCGCTCTGAACGTCGGAGTCGTCGTCGTCGTCGTCGTCGACTGGCGTCGCAGTCGGTGTTGTCTTCGCCATCTTCGTCGTCGTCGTCGAGGTCGTGTCGTGGTCATCGCTGTCGCGTCGTCGTCGTCGTCGCTGTTGCGTCGTCGTCGTTGTTGTGGTATTGGTCGTTGCCAGCATCGTCGTCGTCTTCGGTCGTCGTCGTAGTCATTGTTGTCGTCTGTCGTTGTCTTGGTGGTGGTCGTCGTCGTTATCGGTCGTCGTTGTTGTCGTCGGCCTCGTCGGCCTCGTTGTCGTCGTCGTCGTCTTCGTCGCCGTCATCTTCGTCGTCGACGTCGCCGTTGCAGCCATCGTCGCCGTCATCGTGGTCGTGGGCGCTTGTGTCGTGTCGTCGTCGTTTACCCGTGTCGCCGCTTTGTTCGATGGGGGCCCTACCCCTCCCCCTCCACCTTCCCTCCCTCTTCCTCCTCCTCCCCCTCCTCCTCCTGATCCTCCTCCTCCTCCTCCTCCTACTCCTACTCGCCCTCCTCCTCCTTCTCCTCCTCCTCCCTCCTCCTCCCTCCTCCTCCCTCCACCGCACGCCCCATGTCCCGAGCCTGTGGCGGGGGGGGGGGCCCCCGAGCTTCGGAGGACCTCCCCGGGGCCGCACCGTCTCCGTCTGGCTCTTCGCCTGCGCCCTGCGCAGCGCGGCCGAAAGCTTTCGTATGCCCGAGCGCTCGCCGGCGCGACGTGCCTGCGAAACGCGCGAAGGCGGAGATCGGAGGGGATCGGTTTCCTGTTCGCTGCTCTGCCGATCGGCGCGGGCCCTCGCACCCCTTCCCCCCTGGGAGTAGATCTTGGCTGCTCTGGGCGCCTGTTTCAAGCAGGTGGGCGGCACCCCATGGGATTCCCCATGGGAGTACTGTTCCAAACGGTCGCACTAAGCACAGGTCCTGAGCCAGACGCCCGCCTCTCCCCCCCCTTCCGCTCAATGCCGAAACGCCGAATAAGAAAACGCTCACGAAATCCGGCTTTGCGGCTGAATGTTAGGTGTTCGTCTTGAGCGCACGCACTGGCAGGGAGTGTATTGGTGGTGACGGTGACAGTGATGGGAAGGATGATGCTGCTGATGGCGCTAGCGATGACGACGCCTATGATGGTGATGGTGATGGTGATGGTGATGGTGATGATGATGATGATGATGATGATGATGATGATGATGATGATGCTGATGCTGATGCTGATGCTGATGATGATGAGGAGGAGGAGGATGAGGATGAGGATGAGGATGAGGATGAGGATGAGGATGATGAGGATGATGATGATGATGGTGGTGGTGGTGGTGATGATGATGATGATGTTGATGTTGATGATGGTGATGATGATGACGACGAAATTGTTGATACCGATGATGTTGATGGTACCGACGATGATGACGACGATAAGTTGATCAGTTCTGCACGCGGAGGCACACTTGTGCTCATGACCGAGGCCGCGAAGCTGACCAGCTCCAAGCATTGTGATTATGATTCTCTGCTCGGTCCGGCTGGCGATAGCCTGGAGGTTTCCAAGAAAAGTGCGGGAGTCACGACAAAGGGTAACTCTGTGCTGGTCACTGCTGGAGTCATTATCGGCGATACCCTTGGCGCGGGGCTGCTGACCATGCCGGGCGCGGTGTCGATGTTTGGGTGGTTTGTAGGCAGCCTCTTCATCGTCGGGCTGCTCGCCCTGAACCTGCACATGTGCATGTTGCTGTGGCGGATGCGCATGGCGTTCCCGCATGCGCACACTCTGGGGGAGCTCGCTGAAGCGAGCTTCAGCAGAGCCCCCAAGTGGCAGCAGACTCTGATGCGCCAGTTCACGGACAACGTGCAGTACGTATATGCCTTCTTCTTAGGAGGCATTGGCCCGTCAATCAGGGCTCGAGCATGCCGCTTATCAGTATGGCCTGTCGATCGATGCGGCACGGGGCGATCGAACGGGCAGGCCATCGATCAGCAGTGTTGTGCTCCGCGAGTGGGCCGAGCCGACTGGGTCAGGGTCAGACCGGGTCAAGATCAGGCTATGGATCAGGGGCAGCGTCGAGCTGGAATCGGCGATACATCGCCGATAGATCGGCGATAGGCCTCCGATAACGAATCCACACGTTCCTGGGCGGGGTGGGCTTTGGGCCCCTATCGATGAGTAATGGGCGGTTCGGGGTCGATGCATCCTCCTCTGAGCCTATCCCGCTGTGACTTTGCCTCTGAAGGCATCCCCCTGGATCCGGGGGTGCTCTCCAGGTCTTCTTCATGCTCTCCGCCGACTCCACCAGCCTGGGCAAGGGCTTCGGGCTGCTGTTCTACGACGTGCACCTGTGCCTCCCCGTGTGGGTGCTGATAGGACGGAGAGGGAGCGTCAACCACACGCCGCCGTTGGGAGCCCGTCGGCGTGGTTCTCCTTCGTTGTGGTCCGAAGGCCGGGCGGCGTTTCGGCAGGAGCGCGCTGCTGGGCTCCCTACGGCGCGTGTGTCACTCGTGCTGTTTCTGATGGGGGGGGGAGGGGGAGAAGGGCGGAGAGGGGAGCTGGGAGAGTGGAGGGAGGGGGAGGAGGAGGGAGGCGTGGAAGCGTGCGGATGGGGAGGCTCGGCTCTCGTGCTGCCCGTCCACGCACGCACGAAGTCCCTCGGGGGCAACAAGCCCCTGATCCTGTTCAACTGCGTGGCCGTGATATGCTGCGTTCTGCTCTGCATGCGCCACTTCCACCACGGTGGCGTGCTTTTCAGCAGGGGCGCCGGGACGTTCGAGGCCGTGACGCCCATGACCATGCTGGGGGTCTTGAACGGGCTGAACATGATGGTCTTCAATTTCACGATCCAGTTCATGATCGTGGAGATAGCGGTCGAGATCCCAGTGTCTGCTCATCGCGCGATCGGCGATCACAGATCGTGGTGATCGGGGCTATCACGTGATCGCCGCGCACGTGATCACCTCGGCTCCATCATGCGACCGTCCTGGCTCGAGTGCGTGATCGATCCGTGATCGGCGAGGCAGCCATCGTGATCGGGGCTGCGATCGGACCGCGCGACCCGGCGGTGCGAGCGGCCGAGGGATCTCGGCCGGGCACTCAGGCCGAGATGGAGGAGCCGCAGCGGCTCCCACTGGCGATGTGGGGCTACGCGTACCCCTTCCTGGCTGCGCTCTTCACGCTGTGCGGGGTGGGCGGCTACTATCTGCCCGCCTTTCGGCCAAGTCCAAGCACAGTGCCAGCGCAGCGTCGATGCGACTCGGCGGCGACATCCGGACCCTGCCCGCGCCGGTCGACGGCTCAGGCAACCCGATGGGCGACGGGGGTAGGCTTCGGAATTCGTCGAGCACGTGGCGAAATCCGACCCCACCTCGAAGGATCAACAAACGCGTAGCCATAGTTGTTCGACGGTCCTCGCAGATTTCTTGGACCTGCTGTGGGCCCCCCTGGCGGCGCCTCCAGCACCGCCCCGGCCTGGCGCGATCCGGGTGCCAGGCAGGGGGGTCTGGCGCAGATCCAAGACATCCGCGCGGTCCGTCGAAAGTTCGTATTGATATCAGATCTTTCTTCGCCTAATGCCTCGGCCCCGCATCAATTCAGGAGAACCGATGGTTGGCAGGGGTAGGGCTCGGATGTCGCCACGTAGTGAACGTTTGTTTATTCATTCTTTTGCCGATCGGTGAGGGCCCTCGCACCCCCCCCTTCCCCCCCTCCCATGGAGTAGATCTTGGCTGTTTTTGGCGCCTGTCTCGAGCGGGTGCAGTCTCCCCTCCCAGGACGCACGGTCGCAAACAGTCGCACTAAGCAGAGGTCCAGAGCCAGACCCCCCCTTTCCGCCCAATGTCGAAGCGCCGAAACCATAGGCCTCTGAAAAAGAGAAGCGTCCAGAGCCGCGAACAGGCCGCGGAACACCCTTTGGCCCGACCCCTCACGTGGCGCAACTGCCATGCCGACCACGTCGCCCCCGCCCTCCCCCCCTTGCCGCCCATCGAAACGCCGAATAAGAAAACGCCGAATAAGAACCCCCTCGTCCTCCTCCTCCTCCTCCTCCTCCTCCTCCTCCTCC